AGAGGGAAAAAACCCACAGAAAGGAAAAAAGGTAGGGAAAAAGAAAAGAATAAAAATGTTGAAAAGAGGGGGAAAAGAGGGAAAAAAGCACCAAAAGGGAAAAAAGAGGGGGAAAGCAAAGGAAAAGGGTGAAAGGAGGAAAAGGGGGGAAAAAGAAGGAAAAAAACCAACAGAAGGGGAAAAATGGAGGGGAAAAAGAAAACAAAAGAGGAAAAAGGGGGGAAAAAACCCAAAAGGAAAAAAGAAGGAAACCCCCCAAAAAATAAAGGGAAAAAGAAGGGAAAAAAAGAGAAAAATGGGGGGAAAGCCCCAAAAGAGGGAAAAAAAAGCCCCAAAAGAGGAGAAAAAAAGCCCCAAAATGGTGAAAAAAAGGAGGGAAAAATGAGAATATTCTCATTTCCAAGTGTTTCCTGCCCTGATCGGAGGCAAATGGGGAGGGCCCCATTCCCTTGGGAGGGTGTTGGGCTGCCCTGGGAGGTCCCTGACATCCCTTTTCCACAGGGCATTCCGCAGGTTATCCTGGTGGGCCACGACTGGGGCGGCGCCGTGGCCTGGAACATGGCTCTGTTCCACCCGGAGAGGCTCAGGTGAGGCTGGAGCACATCCCAAGCTCCAAAGGATATCCCTGAATACCCCCAGAAATGCCAGTCCAAGGACGTGATCCCTCTGGGATTGTCCCAGGGCTGTGGCTGTGCTTAACACTCCGTACAAACCTCCCGATCCTACCGTGGATATCATGGAGAAGATGAAGTCTTATCCCACTTTTGACTATCAGTTCTATTTTCAGGATCCGGTGAGTGCTAGATCCCAAGGTTTGGGGGGGATTAAAGCCCTCCCAGGAATCCATTCCTGGTGTTGGGATGTGTTCCCTAAGGATTGATCCCTCCTGTGATCCCTCAGGGAGTGGCAGAATTGGAGCTGGAGAAGGATATCAGCAGGACCTTGCGGATCCTCATCCGCTCCACGCACCGGGAGGTAACTCTGGGATGGGGTGGGAGCTGGGATAGGGAGCCAAGCATTCCAGGGAGGCTTTGGAGTGGCTCCTTAACCATTTTCCAACCTCTGCTCCCAGTGTCTGGCTGCCTGTCTGTGGAAAAGTGTGTGCTCAGGGAGACGTCAGTAGGGACCAGAGTGAACGTCAGGTGGAAAGCAGCAGTACAGGGACTGGAACTGCTTTAGGATTCAGTTCAGTGACTTGAAAGCTGCTCTCAGCTCCATAGCTCAGGGATGGGTGGTTGGTTCCCAAATCCCTTGGGATGAAGTGTGTGATTGTTTCCTAAATCCCTTGGGGTGCCGTGATGATCTGTGGCCCAGGGCTCTGCCAGTGGTTTCTGAATCCCTTGGGATGCGGTGATGCTCCATGCCTGCTCCCAGCTCCATGGCCTAGGGCTGTGTGGTCAGTTCCTAAATCCCTTGGGATGCAGCACTGCTCCATATCCTAGGGCTGTGCCAGTGGTTCCCAAATCCCCTGGGGGTCCAGGAGGGGATGGAGCCTCAGTGCAGGATCACAGAGACCCACCCAAGGGAGGGACTTCCCTTCCCTTCCCTTCCCTTCC